ACTAGACTACTCTTAACTCATTTGCCGGTCAGCTGCCAGCAGCTTTCCGCTAAAGAGTCCTTTGATCTGAAAACGAATTGGGTCGTAGTTCGTTGAGGATTCTCTGTAGTATTCCGTCAAAACCATAAAACCTATCTGCAACAGCATTTGGCTTGCGATGGGCCATGTGTGCTTGTAGGTTCAAAATCTTTCAGATATATACAGCATTTTGCACAGGTCTCCATTTGATCAGTTCTCGTTACAAAACTGGGGATATTTCTCATACATTCAGCTATGGATATGCTTTAACAGGTAAGCCACTTTCTGATATCATTTCACATTTGTAGTGACAACACATGCTTATTGTTTGGTAATATGAAACTTTTACACAATGACATGTACTCTAGAATGACCCTAGCAAACCATGAAAGTTATATTTTTTCTCTGCTTGGAATAGGACTTCGTTTTTAATCTCAAATTTTGGTTAAGACCTTGTGATGAGGGGGACGAAATTATGACGAAATGGTCATGCATTAATAAGGTAACAAGATGCCAAATAACGACATCACTAAAGCTGTCGGTGTAAAGTGAAATACCTCCAAATAATAATCTTTAACTACTAAATGATTTGTCTCGGTAGAAGACATTTTATACGTTCCGTATATCTCCTAGGCTCAGATCAAACGGCGTATCAAAATACAAAACGGCCATGAATGACTCTTTATAGCTTTGTATACATATTTGTATTCACAAGGGTATATCAAAACTTAGTTATTTATCAAATTTTAAAACTTTTCTTTGAATTACCTTTAACAAAAACTAATTACCTAGGTATAATGTTATTTGTTGCCCTGATAGTTACAACCATAGCTGCCGCTGCAGCTGGGTGATCAAGATTGGTCTAGGGTTGTGGTATGCCCGAGGCACCAACAGTAGCAATGTACGTATGGAAGGGGAGATCATCACATCAGATTTCCTGCCGTATAGTTTATCATTTAAAGATAAGCAAGCGAATTGTTTTAGTCAAATGATATCCGATATGTCCATGGGTGAAATTGAATTTTAAAAGTCTTGATAATTCATGGTAAGTTGGGAATGGATTTTTATATAAAAGGGATATGGTTTCAGATTTAATTTCTGCACATGTTGGAAAATATTGCATTTTTTTGTTCCAATGAAGATTTAATGGAACGACAACGAGTGTTTTGAAATATATTGCGTTGTAAATGTCAGAATGGGGAATGATAGAACACACATCACGTACTAGAATTGGGACAGCGATCAGGAATGTAAGGGAATGACCGACTGTATCATACCATAGTGGGATTTTAAAGCAGTGAACGGTTGCATATATATTGCGGTAGAAGGATGAGGCAGTGAATGATTGTATATATATCGTGGTGTAAGGGTGAAGCAGTGAATGGTTGTATATATATCGTGGTAGAAGGGTGAAGCAGTGAATGGTTGTATATATATCGTGGTAGAAGGGTGAAGCAGTGAATGATTGTATATATATCGTGGTAGAAGGGTGAAGCAGTGAATGGTTGTATATATATCGTGGTAGAAGGGTGAAGCAGTGAATGATTGTATATATATCGTGGTAGAAGGGTGAAGCAGTGAATGGTTATATATATATTGCGGTAGAAGGATGAGGCAGTGAATGATTGTATCATTATCGTGGTAGAAGGGTGAAGCAGTGAATGGTTGTATATATATCGTGGTAGAAGGGTGAAGCAGTGAATGGTTGTATATATATCGTGGTAGAAGGGTGAAGCAGTGAATGGTTGTATCTGTATCGTGGTGGAAGGGTGAAGCAGTGAATGGTTGTATATATATCGTGGTGGAAGGGTGAAGCAGTGAATGGTTGTATCTGTATCGTGGTGGAAGGGTGAAGCAGTGAATGGTTGTATATATATCGTGGTAGAAGGGTGAAGCAGTGAATGGTTGTATATATATCGTGGTAGAAGGGTGAAGCAGTGAATGGTTGTATATATATCGTGGTGGAAGGGTGAAGCAGTGAATGGTTGTATCATTATCGTGGTAGAAGGGTGAAACAGTGAATGGTTGTATCATTATCGTGTTGGAAGGGTGAAGCAGTGAATGGTTGTATATATATCGTGGTAGAAGGGTGAAGCAGTGAATGGTTGTATCTGTATCGTGGTAGAAGGGTGAAGCAGTGAATGATTGTATCATTATCGTGGTAGAAGGTTGAAGCAGTGAATGGTTGTATATATATCGTGGTAGAAGGTTGAAGCAGTGAATGGTTGTATATATATCGTGGTGGAAGGGTGAAGCAGTGAATAGTTATATATATATCGTAGTGGAAGGGTGAAGCAGTGAATGGTTGTATCTGTATCGTGGTAGAAGGGTGAAGCAGTGAATGGTTGTATATATATCGTGGTGGAAGGGTGAAGCAGTGAATGGTTGTATATATATCGTGTTAGAAGGGTGAAACAGTGAATGGTTGTATCTGTATCGTGGTAGAAGGGTGAAGCAGTGAATGGTTGTATATATATCGTGGTAGAAGGGTGAATCAGTGAATGGTTGTATATATATCGTGGTAGAAGGGTGAAGCAGTGAATGGTTGTATATATGTCGTGGTAGAAGGTTGAAGCAGTGAATGGTTGTATATATAGCGCGGTAGAAGGATGAAGCAGTGAATGGTTGTATATATATCGTGGTGGAAGGATGAAGCAGTGAATGATTGTATGTATATCGTGGTAGAAGGTCGAAGCAGTGAATGATTGTATATATATCGTGATAGAAGGGTGAAGCAGTGAATGGTTATATATATATCGTGGTAGAAGGTTGAATCAGTGAATGATTGTATATATATCGTGATAGAAGGGTGAAGCAGTGAATGATTGTATCATTATCGTGGTAGAAGGTTGAAGCAGTGAATGGTTGTATATATATCGTGGTAGAAGGGTGAATCAGTGAATGGTTGTATATATATCGTGGTAGAAGGGTGAAGCAGTGAATGGTTGTATATATACTGTGGTAGAAGGTTGAAGCAGTGAATGGTTGTATATATAGCGCGGTAGAAGGATGAAGCAGTGAGTGGTTGTATATATATCGTGATAGAAGGGTGAAGCAGTGAATGGTTATATATATATCGTGGTAGAAGGGTGAAGCAGTGAATGATAGTATGTATATCGTGGTAACGACGTTAATTTTGTATCAGGAAAAAATGCAAGAAAATTATAATCTGTTGTTTATAAGTCGGCTAGCTCTGGTTACAATTTGAATTATGTATTGTCTGTAATTCTAATAACTCTATCTCCAAATAAATAAAGAAAATAATGTGTTGTTTATAGGATAAACATCCCACCAATTACATACCACATACACCACACAAATTACATACAACACACAATGTGTTGTTTATAGGATAAACATCCCACCAATTACATACCACATACAATGTGTTGTTTATAGGACAAACATCCCAACAATTACATACAACACACAATGTGTTGTATATAGGATAAACATAACGCAAATTACATACAACACACAATGTGTTGTTCATAGGATTATTAACACCACACAAACTACATACAACACACAATGTGTTGTTTATAGGATAAACATAACACAAATTACATACAACACACAATGTGTTGTTTATAGGATTATTAACACCACACAAATTACATACAACACACAATGTGTTGTTTATAGGATAAACATAACACAAATTACATACAACACACAATGTGTTGTTTATAGGATAAACATCCCACCAATTACATACAACACACAATATGTTGTTTATAGGATAAACATCCCACCAATTACATACAACACACAATGTGTTGTATATAGGATAAACATAACGCAAATTACATACAACATACAATGTGTTGTTTATAGGATGATTTACACCTCACGTAATATGTTGTTTTAAGACAGTTTACACTTCATTAATCACAAACAAATCACAATTTTCCTGGTAAAAGCTTCAGTATGTATTTTTCCTCGTCTGGATACCTTATTATATTATATATAAAGATCTATTAGAACTATAGTACCCGTCCCCTCAAATTTATACAGCTTAAATGTTTTACTAGGAATGAGTATAAACTAAATAAACGCCTGAAGCATAGTTGAGTACTGCAAGCAAATCAAACACATCACACGATAAACGATACAGACTTGTTTAATTTGTCATAATTTGTAAACCCGCCTGAGATAACCTTATCTGAAGTACCTCTGTCAGGATCTGTAAACGTGCGAACACGTGTAATTGACGTGTCAGTAGCTGAGATAGGGTGAAGGTATTGGAGGTGTGATCACATATACACGGAGTAACCCTGTGATTGGTCTATCATGGAGTTACAAAAGACTTGACGTTACAAGATTTACATAAAAATAGAACTTTTTCTTCACATGATATTGAAATTATTACATGCATGTTTTATTTTCCTTAACCGAGTATATTTTTTTATTATTTTATTATTTTGATAACGGCTCCTTTTTAGTAAATTGAAGAAAGGATGCCTTTCAATTTTTATAAATACTTTTCTCGTTGTCTTTTAGAATAAAAGTACCCAGACAACAGTCACTGCATACATTCTGCTAGTACATTAACTCCTTTAGGACATAGATGCTACTTCATTTACAGGTACATAAATGTCATTGCTAAATCTACATGTTTTGTCTGTGTTGAATTGTTCGCGAAGGCAACTTTTAATAGAACTATTAACGGGTTTGGAAAGGTGTCATAGGGTTGGTTAGAAAAAGGTGCAGTCCTTACTGGACAAGACAACATCCCATCTGCATTATATGCAAGGTAACTAATTTGCTGGCGATTTGCCTTAAACTATTAATTAACTGAGAATTTGTGTATATGTTTTATCTGAAACTATTTAAGATAAGCCCTGCACATTATTCGTAGTTCATTATAATTTGGAAACTTGGCTACCATGAATTTCAAATCCATCATAAATCAGTTCATCATCAAATTTAAACACAGAAAATTAAACCGCCCGATCCAGGAGAGTTTAAACGAGACTTACCCCGGCGTAATACCCGTGCCAGCGTTTTCCGTGAGGTTGTGCAGTTCCACCTCCTATTTCTGAACTGGTACTGACATTCAGCTAAAGCCAATTTAGCGCCGTTTGCCACTTCCTCTACAATTTCAATCTCATTCCGACAAATCTCCCGCTGCTTTCCCGCAAGTCGTCTGCTTTTACGGCAAATGCTATTCGGATCCATCACTAGGGGACTTCCCACCGCCCTGTTCGTCCGCCAAAAAAAAAGTTCCGGAAAAGAGAAAACAAAAGTGTAATATTTTTTTTGTAAAAATTGACGGGTTACATATTGTATTCATCAATATAGTATAGTATCTTCAGTTTTCATTTCTGGTATTTTGACATATAGCGGAGAGGTTTATACATCTGGTTCAAGTACTTAAGCAGACAGAGCTCAGTTTAAAGCTCGTTTTAGAAAGTAACGGAGTAAGATAGGCGATTACTGGCGATGGAGTAGGGACTGGTGCCAAACAGTTAATTACGATGAACATTTCTTTTGTCAGTCATGAAAAAACATAACAGCTTCAAATTCCATAAAACAAAAAACTACATGCAAAATACATCAAATCTCCTAGTTATTAAAAAAAGTACGCTAGTTGGCATAGTGACGTAAAAATCGGAAGGGCGTCGCCTTATAATAACAGTGATCAGCTGACTGTATCTCCTAAAATCATGTATTGGTAGTTCATATAAAACTGGGCTTATTTGTCACTAGAGTAAGTCGGACATAAACGATATGAGACAGACGAGAGCTTGTTGTGTATATGCTTGTATGTATATGATGTGATAATCTATGTTTTATAACTATTTTTAATGTATGTTTGAAATTGATTACAGTTTCGCTTTCTTATATAAACTTATTGTTTTGGAATCGACAATTAAGTAGTCTGGAGTAAATATATAATCTGATATCAGTTGCCAAGAGTGGATGTCTGGAAAATTGTAGACAAAAATACATATAGAACACTACACTTACTTCAAACCCAAACAAAATCAATATTACAATGAATCTATTTAACAAAATTACGCATGACACGTTTTAATTCATTTGAAAAAGGCAAAAGTCAAAATATATTCATATACTTGACATTGTTCTAAAAATCATTATTATCAAATATTGATAAATTTGAAATTTATTGATTTGTAGGATCAGTACATTTTATATTTTGATATATATTGTTTTATTCCCAAGTCTCCTCCTAGGTTTAACACTGTCCCTCATATCATTGAAGAGTCTTATAAGATACAGGTATATGATGCTGTTAAGTTCATTTTTATTTGTATGGAAAGGTGATATTTTCTGGTACGTCTTTAGTACGATAATAACATAACAATGAATTTGAATTAACCCTAATACTTATATACCGATGTAAACACAAAATACACCACAATACACTGTCAGAATGACTAATACACCTCTGCCAAGGAATATTTTTATTTAGTCAATGTTTCACTGTTGTTATCACAAACTGAATTTTTTTATTGTTTTCGATCAATAGAAAAATATGTTTGCTTCGTTATAAGCAAATGACGTCACAAATAATCTTTGGATTATGTTCACAAAAAATAAGTTTGTATTGAAAAAAAAATAAATAGTAAATAAAATAGTAGTAAACAAATTAAATCTGTATGTGATTGATTTAACCACGTTTACTTGCCTACAGCAATATAAGTCACATTCTGTAAAATCATACATTTTGGCGAGACTCAAATTTCGCGGGGTTCTAAAAATATATCCTTTCCTTGGCACTTGATTTCATTGATTATTGTTTGCCACAATATTCACTTGTGCTGTAGTCCGTGTCAACTTATATCTTTTTATCATTTCGTGGATATATAAATTTAGAGTAAAATTAGAGTACCCACAAATTTTTTGAAAATAAAACACCAACGAAAATTTATGATTTTACAGTAAAGCAGTTTGATCTGATTTCCTGATGAATAGTGTTTCTATAAACCAGAATTGGATACGTAGACATCCATACCTTAGTAAGCCATACAACGTGTAAATCAATTGCTAACAATATAACTAGGAAAAAATGTACATGTACTATTTCTAACGTTTGTTTGGTAATCAGTTTACTTCATTTATTTTTTCTCTTTTCACAAAATGAAACAGAAAAAAATACATTTACTTATTTATGCATAAGATCAACAGGGCAATTAAACCTGGATTCTTGTAGAAATCGTTTTTTTTTCTATCTATCCCTTTCTTATATGAATATCAGTTCCAGTGGTACATAGAATGTCACTGTGAAAGTTTATCTTTCAGTAAACATATATAGCAGTTTATATCGTTGGTCAAATAATCTAAAAATAGCCTGGACACATGGCTTTAAATAACGGTTAGTCATTTCATAAGATCAGTTGTGTAAGTTGTTGGGAATTTCAATTTATCACAAAGCTGCCTATCAGTTCAGCTGTCAAAATCAAACGAAGTATGTAATGCACATTTACAATTGTATATAATCTTTATTGAAATGATATTGATATCAAATTCTAAACACAAATATGCGAGACCGTTACAAATTTCAAAATAAGGTTACACGCATAGGGTATAAGATAGGGTTATGTTTGATATTTAGACTGAAATAATTATAAAAATTGTGGCGAACCCATCGTAAAGGTACATTTTGGTATACATCAATTTGTATGCCTAGATCAGTTTCACGTTGTATGTTTGGCGGAGTACGGCACTGCGGAGTTTGTTTTGGCACAGGGAAAGGTTCACACCCGTGATCCCATTTTGCTGAAATGACATGTAAGTGGCTCCACATGAAATCAACACTTGACATGCAGGTCGTTATGAATAATATTTCAAAATGTCTGAACTTCCGGTTCGTGGTGGCAGTCTTGCACTAAAGTGACATGTATCGTGGTTAAGAGAGTTAAAACGAGATACAGAAGTTTGTCTTCCAAGATTGAAATAAACTGGTATGACAGTTATATATGAACACACATCTTAAACTACATCATGTAATTACAACTAAATTCAAAACAAAGTGAAAGCATTTTCATTTGTGTAGACTGAGGGCGGTTTATTGGTGTGATCTTGAAAATCATTGTATTAATGACATGTCTTTAGTAAATCTGACCTGATTGTCATAAAGAAGATAATAACATTTGTACAATTGTATTTAAGACGTTAACAGAAGTCTTTTTATACTGTCATTTTCCATATTCAAGGATTTTTTTAAATATCATATGTAGTAACGATTTGGTATCCAGAATGGTGTTGGCAATCAACCATATGTTTCATTTATTTTTCGTTGTGTTTTCATTGATACCTGCATAATTGCGTTGATCCTTTATGTATTTGGAAAGTAAGGAGAGCTTTGATTAAGAAATTTAGAATGCATCACGCAACATATGATTTTAATTAAACTGAACGTTAATAGGACATACAGCAACTATAAACTTAACCAAATACAATTTTAATTTTTCTTTGTTTTCACGATATTATATTATCAGAAATTTAAAATATATCATGCAACATATGATTTTAATTGATTCTGACTGTTAATAGGACCTTAAACAACAATAAACTAAATCAAATATAATTTTAATTTGCTTTGTTTTAATGATATTTTGTTATATATCAATTTTTAGTGCGTCTCTAACAGCTGCTTTTGTTTATATATTTAATGGGGTTCGTCTGGTCGACAACTTCTGCAAGCATTTAACTGTAAACATCGTACACATTTAACTTCAGGAATAAGGATGATGTCTAGATATACTGTCCTTTTCATTGTTTGTACTCTCTAAACTTATTTGAAAACCCTACCCAGGGTACCCTAGTTTATCGCATCACGAGCTAAACCGAATCGTGATGGGAGGGCCGTGGAATTGCACTGTGAGGTAATTTTCTATAACTCAATTATTCGTGGTTCGTGGACTTTGGCAATATACAAGTTTCGCCTTTTATTTATCTGACATTTCAAATCAGTTCGTTTTTCAGTGTACGCTATGTTCCAAGGGTTACGTTTCCCACCCTATCAGACATTCGGTTTGATCGATATGAATAAGTGAATTCTTACTTGTCTTTTATGCCGGATATTGAAAAATAAAATGATTACTTTCAAAAATCTGTAAAATTATTCAAAAACATTTCAATTATTGCTGTTAAATTCTTTAATATTTATCTTATTGTCAGATATCTTTCACAGTAACAATCTCATTTGTTGTAAATGATTTTTAATGTAAAATCCTGATGCTATTATTCATAGTTATTTATAATTGTCAAAAATTTAATTGCCTTTGAAATTAAATCCGTCTTAAATCATTATCACAAAGCAACTTACACAAGATTAGTGTTGGTTCATTCGTCAAATTATACATGCGATTATTTACGAGTACGGGAATATATTCATATGTATGATTTTGTTTAGAAAAGAACAATAAAGGTTTTATATCCTTTTTCATGACGTCTACACAAAGGAACTGCTGTTAAAGATACGAATTGAAAGTAGAATCAATTCATCATGACATTTAATACACACAATTACCAAAATAGTTAGAAAATTATCATTTCTAAGAAAATGGTATAAAAATGCAGTTTCAGAATATTGTAAGTTATGCTATTTATTATAACGAGATGATTGTATCTGAAATAAGTATTAGCTACATACACCAAATCACATACATTACTAACATACTTCTAACAGGTGTGAACTGACATGTTCCTCCACATCACTAACACTTTAACAGTGTCAGAGATAGTGATGGTATCCTGAGATGATTCTAGATCTTTCTGAAATTATATTTCGTGTTGATATCACTCTACTTCCTGAATCGACCTGGTATCTTAACCGTTACGTAAGAAAGTTCACATCGTCAATACACTTTCACACTGTTCCTCGAAATAAGCGATATTTCTGTGATGAATTGTATACGATACATTGAAATCATTTGCTCGACATAAGGAGAGTTGATCACTTCGAGAAAGCGATGAATTCCTCATTAAAGACGTTTTATAATTCCACACTACAGTGATTCAGCTGTTAAACGGTGGACAATTCAATACAAACACAGTTCGATTGAAAAATAAGATTGCTAAATTAATTGAAAATACGAAACGAAAAACCATAGGTTGGTTCAGAAAGATGGATCATAAGCAAATTCCTAGTCATTGATTACAAGAAAATAAAATTGACTGGACGTAAGAGTTAGTTCTAAGCCCAGTATAAAGGTTGACGTCAAAACAGCT